ATATATAGATTTGGGATCATGTGAGACCAATGGTTTTTCGTAAGACCTGTAAGACCAATTCTCAACCCTTGGATTAGATTTACAATCGTCAGATCTGAACATTCATAAACGGCACGAGACTTCTCAATAATTAAAAAATTGTCACCTTGCAACTTTAGACCATTAGATCATTAGCTTATAAAGTTGATCAATGAACGTAAATTGGTCTTACGGGTCTCACGAAAACCCCTTGGTCTCACGTGAACCCGACCCTAGATATATATATATATATATATATATTATTCTACTTTTAAATATAAGAACTATTATGCATGTTGAGGCACACAAACCTAATTACACAACGTAACAAAAGTAAATATGGTAATATTCGATATCCGTAAGCTGTACTTCCTATTTTGGTCCTTGTAGATTACACAAAACTTAACATCCATAAACTATACTTCCTATTTTAAGGAGCGACCAACACCACTATTTTCTGCTACCAAGTGGCACCCAACATCACTATACTTCTTATTACCAACCATTGAATGTCTCTTTCTTCCAACATCCAACCCAACACTCGATCGATAAGGTGGTGTGGGTGGGGTGAAGAAGATCAGACGATTTCAAGTGAAGATGGATGGTACCAATCACCATATCTATAACCATCAATGCAGAAGAAGATGGATGGTTGCTACATGCCACAAATAACTGAATCTACAACTATTCATAGAGATGGATGGATATAAGTCAATAAGATCGGAAGGCCTGAGTGGGTTATGCGTGTATGTGTTCTTTAAGAGAGGGACATGATCTCAAAAGTTGTTACAGCTTCACCAAAGATGGAGGTGACGATGACTGGGGACAAAGTAGTTTTTATGTGTGATAGTGGGAGGAAAAGATGAAGGCCGCATTCATTATTTGGTAATGGTAAAGAAACCATCAAATTACATGAACCAAATTCGTAACAGTTAGATAAGAATGAAAGTCATGATGAGAAGAGTAAGAAAAAATCTCCACCCTTCGATCAATCCTAATTAAAGATCAACACGTGTGAGATGTATCAACATACGTCAGATATAGAATTTATTTCAAAAAAAATAATAATTTGGAAGAATAAAAGAATCCCTTATTTGTTACCATGATATAGAATTTTGGGTGGGACCCACAATAAGGGAATGACAAGAAGGGTGGTAAAGCCACCACTTAACGGGAGGTTGCAGTTTTTAGGTGACAGACGTCTCTATTGGTTCTACTTCTTCTTCACGCATCAGCAAATCTTTCCATATACTGCATGCATTCCCTTATCTCTCCATCCATCCTTCAATCAATCATAAACCCATACCCACATTCCCTTTTCAATTGTGTTTCATCTTCAACAATTTCTTAAAACCCCATTAAAACCCTCTCTCTAAAGCCTTCAAATGGACCATCGCAGAAACACCCACATGATGCAACACCACCAATTTCTCCCAAATGGGCTTCCCTTTCCATCCTTTTCTCCCCCGTTTGTGCCCGATGCTCCATTTTTATCTCAAGAGATGAGTTGTAGTTTACCACCCTCGATTGACGTCGATCAGAGCTTGTCAAATGTCTTTTCGTTGCTCAATCTTTCACCGCCGGCGCATTCCGACCACCGCCGCGGTCGAATCGGCTGTGCTGGTTCTTCCGTTGGCGAGGGTTTTCTTCATCACCCGGTTGGTAATCCTCGAATGATGCATTCCGATTTGGGACTTAACAATCCCTTTACGATGGACCCTCATCACCATCATCGTCGTCGTCATCATCATCGGCTTTGCAACAATACAGATGCCCTCCAGATGCATTCTTCTTCTGGATTTGACTATGGGTTTGACATTGACCAGAAGTCTCGCTTGGGCTCCACGAAGTTCCTTTATTCCACGCAACAGCTCGTTTCCCTCCCCAGGTGTTCGTCAAACAATGCTTCTCAACTTATTGATAAAATGTTTGTTCCCATCAATAACGAATTGAAATTTCAGAGATCAGATGATGATAAACACCTTAATCCTCCTTGCTATAATAGTAATCACCTTTGTGGGGTTGAGTTAAGTAGATTTCAAAATCAAAACCATCAGTTTATGAGTTCATGGTCTTTGAAAGAATTGAAGGGAAGGATATATGCTCTGGCTAAGGACCAAAATGGTTGCAGAATACTACAAGCCATGTTCGAAAGACCAACAATGGAAGAGGTGCAAATGGTTTTGTCTGAAGTGGTGGATTCCATTAGTGATTTGATGAAAGATCAATTTGGGAATTATTTAGTTCAAAAACTTGTTGTTCTTTGCAACAATGATCAGAAACTGCAGATACTTATTTCTCTGATTAAAGTCCCAACTAATATCATCCTTGTTTGTATGAATCCACATGGGTATGTTTCAATTACTCCAATTTGATTTGATTTCTTTCTTTCTAGCAGAACATATAATGATGTTTGTGTTGTTGGTAATGTTATAGAACAAGAGCAGTGCAAAAGCTGTTGGAGAATTTGAAAGACCCAAATCAGATTAAGTTAGTAATGAAGGCTCTACACCATGGTGCAGCTACATTGGCCAATGATCCAAATGGTCATCATGTCATTCAGTACTGTCTGGTTAATTTCCATAGTGATATTAACAAGGTACTGTGTTCTTCAGTGGAAAATTTTGTTTATTTTGTTCATTGTGTTCATCTTTTGTGTTCAAATGTTAATGCTGACTCTATGGTTCTGTTTGCTATATGATTCTATGGTACAAGCATTCATATGCATAATATGATGAATTGGTTTTCAATAAAACTTGTGTGGGTTTTAGAAGAAAACTAATAAGGCCCCTGCTTTTTACCCCTTGGAACCAACTAAAGTAGAGGCACACTTGGTTTTCTATCATTTTCGATCACTGCCTAAAGAGTAAACACTACCTACAATGCTCTTTCCTCACCATCTAATTTCTCCCAAATCCGTTGTGAGAATAGGTGGAACCCCTCAACCCCATTAGATTACTTTCCAAAACAGCCCATGAAGAGGGAAGGGAGATTCCAACATATATTGAGGAGAATGAACCAAGTCTAGCCGATGTGGGACTCTATCACTCCCCTTCCAACAGAGGCTAGATGAGTACAGATTGTCCCAAAGTGTTGAGAGGGGCTAGACGAGTACAGATTGCCCCTAGAGTGTCAAGTCCCTAGAGTGGTAGATCCTTGCCTTTGATACCATGTGAGAATATGTTGAACCCTTTTAGATCACTCTTCACAAGAGCCCTTGAAGATAGGAGGGAGATCCCACCATGTATTGAGGAGAAATGACCCAAGTCGACGATGGGACTCTAACGCCCGTAATGCTGAGTTTGGTTGCTGCTTATTCTCAGACCATTAACGTATTTCTTGCTTTTCTTATGATCATCATCTTCTATAATTCCCCATCCTTAAAAAACACATAGAGAACCTATCATAGAACTGAGTAATGTGCCTTGCCTTTAAGTACCTTCAGGATCTAATAAGCAATGTTAGAGATATAGTTGAGAATCGAACCTAGAAGTTTGTAGCAGGAGGACTACACAGAACTCTGCTGTTGTTCATATCAGTTCGTGATCATCATCTAATACTTTTTGTCAATAGTTGTAATTTGTAAATGCAAGTTTTGTTGAGTTAATTGTTGCCAAAATAGACTTACGACCCATTTTCCTGAAAACTTCATTACCTGAATAATGCCTTCCATTTTACACAAATGAGTTATAAATTCACACATCTAGCATAAATTGTAGAATATGTTTATTGTTTAGTATTTTTCTTCAACCAAGATCAATGAATGCATAATATTTTTGGCAGCCTATTCTCACTGAAATAGCAGATGAGTGCTTTAAAGTTGCAACGGATAGAAGTGGTTGCTGTGTGCTGCAGGCATGTGTGGAACACTCTCGTGGGGAAGTTAGAACGCGTTTGGTTGCTGAGATTATGGCCAACTCGGTACACTTAGCAGAAGACCCGTTCGGGTTTGTGTCTCTAATTGTTGTTTTTGTAAAAAAATCAGCTTTTCATGTCTTTATAGTTCTGATTATTGTTTTTATCGTTATTCTATTTAGAAATTACGTTCTGCAACACATGCTGGGGTTGCATATACCAGAGTTCACTTTGCTGCTTGTGAGGCAACTTCAAGGGAACTTTGCTTCTCTTTCTTGCAATAAATATGGTAGCAATGTTGTCGAGAAATGTCTGAAGGAATCTGGAGAAGAGGTATCGACAAGAATCATTCTGGAAATAATCAGAAGCCCGAATTCTTATTTGCTTCTAGTAGACCCCTATGCCAACTTCGTTATCCAATCTGCGCTTAAAGTTTCGAAGGTTAGTTAATGTTTACCCGTACACATACTCAAAAACCATTTAAATGCGTAACCGAAATGATCATTTCATGATGAAGCACTTTTACTATGCTAACGGTTTAGAAGATGTAAAACAAATAGCATACATTAGGGCGCAGCCAGAAAATTTATCTAGGGGGTACCTATAAAAATATAAGAAAATTCATGATTTCAAGGTTGAGAAAACCTTTTAAGTATCTATGTTTATTAATTAAATACTTGTCCTAGAAATAGTTGTAAAAAAGAGTTGAAAAGCATGAGTGCCTAAACGACATAATTATATCTATATTTATACAAGCAAATACAAGATGCGTGTAGATTACCATATAAATAATAATACATGAAAATTATCGTAAAAAATTGTGTCTTCAATAAAGTAACTTGTTTATTTTAGAACCTTTAGAAAACTTGGCATTTATAAAGGAAGAAAAAGAAGAATTTGATATGAATAAATAAAGTTTCAAGTGGGTAATTGAGGTTTAGGACTATCAAATTTTATTTTTAGTCTTTGAGGGGGAGCCGATGCCACTTCTGGCTCCAAGGTGGCTTCACCCATACATACCCGCATTCAAATCATGAGCATAATAGACATGTATCTCATTTTGTTAGAGTTCTACATCAGCTAGACTTGGATCGGTTCTCCTCCATATATGTTGAACCCCTCTCCCCTCAAGAGCCCTTTTAGAGAGTAATCTTGGGGGTTCCACATATTCTCTCTCATGGTACCAGAGCCAAACCACTCTAGGACTCAACACTTTAGGGCATCTTTACTCATCTAGCCCCCTATCAACACTTTGAGACAATCTGCTAATCCTATATCGGCTAGACTTGGATCAATTCTCCTCTATATATGTTCTTCTCTTCTCTGCTCAAGGGCTCTTTTGGAGAGTAATAAGGGACTTCGTCGATCTTTCTGGTTATTATCTTCAAGGCCCATGGGATTAGTCGAGGTGCGCACAAGTTGGCTTGGACAACACAAGTCGCTTGTGGCATACCATAAGTTTACCGGTCCGACTAATACATCAAAACAAGCCATTATACACCGTATTAACACCAAGATTGCAAGATTGCTTGCTTTAGCGTACATACCTTCCCAACACATTTATCTATCATATGATGCACTTAAACACCAATTTAAACAACAAAAGATCCCTTAATTCTATGCTTTTCTTCTCCGCTTTTCAACATGTTTAACACTATATGAACCCAATTGATGGCTTTAAGGACTCTTTTCAACTCCATTATCATCCAAATCACTATCCCAACCTCATATGCAACTAACATAATAGAAATTCGCACCCATTCTTCCCGGCCCAGTGCAAATGCCCATCCTTGTGCAAATAATCATCTCAGACACTCCTGTTCCACTGTGCCGGTCCAAATGCCCATCAAAGTAACTCCTTGCCTCAAAACTTCAACTATTTTTTTTTGAAAGGGTGTCCCAGGCTATGTTTGACTATCCTAGCAAATTGTAACTGCAAGAAATCAACCTTATAAACTTAGTGGCCACAATTGTTGTGTACGAATGAAATTGAACCCTGGACAGATGAGATATTCCACCACATCCCCAGACCTCAACCACTACGCCGCAACCCTTGTGGTTAACTTCCAGTATTTTCTTGTTAGCTTTTTGTGTTACTTGTTAGGAACAAATTGTGAGTAATTGTGGGTTAAAATCTCCAAAAATGATCACCATATGAGGTTTATCATCTTTCCTTTTAACTATTGCCGCCTATTTGTTCTCTTCCCATGATCACTTTTCTACTTGAGACGTGTTTTAAAATCTTCCAATTGAATCTTCCAGTTTCTGATAATAGCAATCCAACACCTGGACTTCATTGTTTCAAGAATTACCACTTTCAACCCCTCTCTTGACTTTCTCATTACCTTGAGATCCACTTTAAGGGGTGTTACATATAAATCATACTTACATGATATTGATACATATACATACATAACAAACACACACACACACATATATATATTCTCTCTCTCTCTCTCTCTCCCTATTTTTATATATAATTGGACCTTGTCTGATTAAGGATTAGACCGTCCCACTTAGGACCAATCGGTTAAGGTTTTCAGGTCAAAGACCGGTTAGGCAGGGGCCAGTTATGAACAGTGTGACTTAGTCTTGGGACTGGTTAGCAGGGGTGGACCTACAGACAATGTCCCGGATGCACGAGCTACCGCTCAATCAACTTGTCGCAACATAAAAAAATTTAGGGGCCTTCAAGGTGCACCCACTTTAAATTAATGTGTGCTCCCTTAAGTTAACAAAAGTGGTTACAATCTAATAGTAGTGTCATTACATGTAGTTTTACAGGTCGGAAGTGCAAATCCCTTTGGCCCTTTTTTTAATTTTTTATGGTGACAGCAGCAGAAAATAAGAAGAGAAAAAACCACCCAGATGTTGCAAAAAAACCCCTATATATTATTTTTAATGAAACGTAGTTTTTACGGTAAGCATTTGTTTTATTTATATATTATGTCAGTTATTTGTGCTTCTGCTTAAAAAATTTATGGGTCCATCTCTGCCGATTAGGACCCCATTTTGCTCATCTCTAATGTAGATAGCTATTTTCCGGATTTTTTATTATAATTATTTTGTACTGTTCTGATACCAAATTGATAAAGAGAATTAAGATACAAACTCATTGTGCTTAGCCATCTCTCCAAGAGATGCTTAATTGAACTCTAGAACATGTATAAAATCAAGCATGCCATCCATTCTTCACTAATGTCCTTATAAATAATATGGATGTCCCTTTTTTCTTATATTATACCATATAAATAATATGGTAGTAATATAAAGGAGGACCTTCTTCTAAAAACTCTATAATTTATTAATATGTCTACTTGCACACATCTTTGCCTGGTGCAAAAGTGGGGGTATTCACGGAAACAACCTCTCGACCCTAGTGGTTGATATAAGGTTTGCAAGCATGTTACCCCTCCCAGACCCTGCTTTTGAGTGGGATTTATATTGGGTTTGTTTGGTTTGATTTGGTTTGGTTTGGTTTGGTTTACTCATTTATGCACTATGACAAGCCAAAACCAAGGATAGGGGCTAGCGTGCAATTTAGTTTTCACTTTACGATATGAATGGTTTACGTGACGCTTGTTATCATTTATGATCAGGGGTTTGCACACGAGTGCCTTTGCGGTCTAATTTCCAAACACACGTCATCTATGCGAAGCAATTTGTATGGTAAAAAGATACTCGAACGATTCGAGAAGAGAAGGAGCTAGCTAGCTAGCTAGAGAAGAGGAGTAAGTAGTAATTTGGATGTGTAGCTTGTTTGTGAATACTTGTTGTCATTTCACTTCACAAATTGTAGACAGACATTAAATATGTTGTCTTAGTGAATTTAAAGAGGTTTTTGACTCTATTAACTTGTTTTAAAAGGTTGTGAATAATATATATATTCACTATCCCTATGCTTTTATTCTTCAACTATATATCAAAAGAACGTTATTATTACCATGTCGTGAAAGGTGTTATCGTATTATTTTGAGATGCAAGCACCCCATATTCCTTGAAATACAATAATAACGCAAGTTTTTGTTGGTAGAGTAGGTTTGCACTTTGCATAGTATTTTTCCCTTTTCAGGTGCGGGTTCGAATCTCATTTGTATCATTTTGTTAGTTTTTAACTTTTAATTCCAAGTTTATTATGATTTTTGAAAAACCGTGGGACTCGAAGACAAGACGTCATATATACCAAAAACAAAGAACTAATCAACAAACGAACAATAATTTTGTAAAAGATATCCACAGCTTCGGTAAATTGGAGTAAATACCAATTTGTAGTTATTCTCTAACGTTTGAAGTAAATACCGAAACATCGCCGTCAAACTTGCTTTGTAAACTGGAATCGATTTTAAATCAAACTAGTTGTCGTTTAACCATAAAGGTCGCTTTCAACAAACAAGGATTTGTCCTTCGTTTTTCGATTCAATGAGCATCGGTTACGAACCAATTTCATGTGGGAAGCAATGCATGGGCCGACGGGACACCACTCCACATCATAAAGAGAGATTTATCGTACATTTATTGGATTATTATTGCTTTTTGAATGGAAACATGTGATTGTTAGTAAGAGAAAAAAAAACCGTACGTTCAAAATGTTTCAATGCTTCAAGATTTCTTTTGTTTGTCTCGTTTCTATCAGATTTCTTTCCGCACATATATTATTCAAAAGATTCAACAGTCAAACGCAATACAAATGTAATTTCTCGTTACCAAATTCAATCAAATAAAGATAATACGATCAATAAATAAAATACCACAAGCACACTCAACGTCATCCACAGAATTTTTCAGTCTACATGATCAATCATTATGTGTTGTGTTCAGATACCCTGTAACACAACACACAGATGCTTTAGGGGCATTTAGACGTGCCCTTAGAGTTCTTCTTGTCCCTATAACAAGGACATTCGTCTTTGTTCCCGTATGTTCCAGAAGGTACACATTGACACTCTTCGCAGCATATCCCACAGTACTTTATACATCTATCATGCATCCCTGCCTTCGAGCACCTCACCTCACACTTCGAGTCACATATACCTACACATACATGTATACGGTTTAATTATATACAAACTCCAATGCATAAAGTACAAACATCTTATGCATAAATACCCATATCATGAAAATGAAAAAGATGAACAGCCACATCTTACTTGATTCAGACATGGTGATTTGAGAGATTGAAGAACTCAAGAGTACAAGTGCCATAAGCATGAATTTTGCAACCAATGGCGTCATTTTTTTTCATGGGGTGTATGTGTGTGTGTCTGAATTGGAGAATGAGCCAATATTTATAGTGCTGAAAAGTGTCGGTGAAATAATTAATTTTTTTAATTTAAAAATAAAGAAAATAAATTAATATGTCCAAGTCAATTAATATTAAATCTAATGAATATACAGCTAATATATCAATTAACTTAAAATTATTTATTAATATTTATAATAATAAAATAATAGTTTAAAGCAAAAAATCATTATTATTAAACATTTTGTAACGGTTAAAAATAAATAATAAGTCAACATCTTGTTACCAAAAATATATTTTATTTAATATCATATTTGTAATAAGACATTTTTACAACTTATTCAAAAAAAGAAAAGAATATTTTGCAATTTTTAGAATATTTTTCTATTTATTTCAATAAAACAGGGTTAGTGGGAAATGGATGAAAAGTTCCTACAAATTTTGAGAATTTTATAAATTCAGAGGATTTTTTACAATTAAATGGGAAAAAAAAGAAAATAATTTATTTATTTTATAAATCTAGAGAATTCTTTAAAATTAAAAGAATTCTCCACTTGGAAGTGGAGTATTGGGTGGTGGGATATACACAAACCCAACATTTATCCAAAAAGTAGAGCAGTTGTTTCTGTGAAGAACTCTGATTTGCAAAAAAAAAGTTGTATATAGAACTTGGGGTCGAAAATGGGAACTGCATATAGTTTTTGAAATGAAGAGTTAAGACTGGTACACAAAAACATCCAGTAAAATGGAGGAAAATAACGAAAATTAGACATCCATTTGTCATAAACTCTAAAAGAAAAAGATACATTTTCATAGAACAACCTGTATCATACAATTCTTCTTGTTCTTGGATAAACTTTCTACAGTTTTTTTTTAATATAGCATATATTTGTGTACAGAAACTTGGATTCATTTCTACTGTAAAATACAAGTTTTCAAGGATAACTACAAAACAACTACGCTAGACAATAACAAACGCACTTGTACCACGAGGTAACATTTGGGTATTTGGTTTTCGCTTGAGACTACTGTAAGCCAGGTGACTTCATGGAACAACCTCCCTATTCCTAGGGTGGAGGTATGGCCCTCTGACATCTTATTTTCACATACCGTATGTCCAAGTAGAGTTTACCTATCATTTTGTCTGCTTACACACACCTCTGTGTGGTGCACAAGCTAGGAATGTTCACAAAAACATCCTCTTGATCTTGAAGCTGGTGGTTGGGGTAAGATCAATTAACCTCTCCGAGGTTTTGCTTCTGGGTTGAATATACTAGATTCGTTTGGTTTGGTTTGACTTACTCGTTTATGCATCATGACAAGCCAAAACCCAAGGATATAGCGTAGCCCACATTTCAGTTTTCATTTTATGATATAAATGGTTCATCTGACGTTGGATATCATTTATGATCAGCACAGGGTTTCGCACACGAGAGCCTTTGTGATCTAATTTCCAAACACATGTCATCAATGCGAAGCAATCTATTTGGTAAAAAAGTGAGAAGATTACATTCTTAATAGGAATCACTGAATTTTTCTTGATTATTATTATTTTAGTAAATTACATTTTTGGTTTCTATAGTTGCCACTCATTATGAAGTTTTAGTCCCTAATTTGAACTTCAGTCACTATGGTTGTCATTTTATTTCACTTTTGGTCTTTCTGATTAACTATAGTTAACAGAAGCTTGTTAACTTAAGGACATTCTAGTTTGTATTCTCTATTTTGTGTTTTATTTTATTAAAAACTCTTTCTTTTATAAACCCACCCTACCCCACCTCTACCCGTACCCTACACACGCCCCACCTACCAAGTCCCGACTTGTGTTGTCCCCCTGGATGGAGGCGGGGACCCTAATCCCCATCTCTAATTCTGCCTCCAACCCACTATGGAAATTGATCACAATTCACATCCTAATCCCCTTCTCGTTTATTTGAGATATTTTAAATCGAATGTGTAAATACCACACTCAGATCCAAAATATTTCATGTTTAAATCTCACATATTTTCAAAAAATTTGCTTTTATGGAGTATGAAATATTTATATGTGAACAAAATCACAACATCATATGTAATTATTTGAACAAACGTTTTCAGTACTCCATGTTTTTTTATCTAAAAAAGTAAACGGGTCAAAAAAAATGTATATAAGAAGAAAGATCAAAATATTTTTTAAAATCTAAAAGATACTAAATTTAATTCTTTATAAATAATATATTTAATAATAAATATAAAATTTATTTAATATATCGGGATGAGACAGGTCGGGATCACATTACCTAACCCTGTCCCCATCCCCGGTTTTTTTAACTTCTGGGGATCCCCGTACCCATCTTCGGTCATTGGTTTTGCAAGGAATCCACAGTCCCGTCGGGACGAGTACACCGAGTTCCACAATAGAACGGGTCTCATTGTCATACCTATGTGTGCGTGTGTGTGTGTGTGTGTGTGCGTTTTGCTTTGAAGAAGGGTAAAATAAGGAGCCTGGGTGTTGGGTCTGGCACACCAACTCATACACATTTTGCATCTTCATTTTGAATACAGTTGGATATTTGCAGTTTTGAAATTACAAGATGATCATCATCGTTTGAAAAAACATCCAGATTTGATGCCTCCCTCTAACGGTGGTTAAGAAATATACAATGTTCGTCATTTAATCGATACAAAATGTTCGTCATTTAATGGAATTTTTAACCGATGGTTAGAGAAATGATGAAATCCCAAAAGTTTTGCAAACTCCGATGGCCATCTTGTAATTTCGAAACTACAGAAACACAAAGTGTTATTTTTTGAAAGACCACAATGACCAAATTTGTAATTTAGTCCTTTTTTAACTATAGTTAGTCAAAAAGACAAAAAGTGGAACAAAATGTAAACCATAGTGACTGAAAATGTAAGTAGTTCAAAATAAGGACTAAACATGATAATAAGTGGGTAACCACAAAGATTAAAAAATGTAATTTACACTTAATATTTTTTTAGCTGACATATATATGACAGGATGAAGTAGAAAAATAAGGTTCTTGTACCGCAGATGCACTAAGTTTGTAATTCGACCTTTCTGACCAAATGAATTACTCTTCTGTTTCGAAATTATAGTTATTTTCTAAACATTGAAGTAAACATAAAGATATTGACGTTAAACTTGCTTTATAAATTGATATCGATTATGAATCAAACGAGTTGTCGTTTTAGCCTTAAAAGTTGCTTTCAACAAACAAGAATGTGTCACTGGGTTTTCGATTCAAAGGAGCATTGGTTACGAACTAGTTTCATGTG